GAACTGGGAATTGGGAATGGGGAACTGGGAATGGGGAACTGGGAATGGGGAACTGGGAACAGGGAACGGGGAACTGGGAATTGGAACTGGGGAACTGGGAATGGAGAACTGGGAATGGGGAACTGGGAATTGGGACTGGGGAACTGGGAATAGGGAATGGGGAACTGGGGCTGGGATTGTAGGAGTGGGATCACCGGGACTGGGATCACTGGAACTGGGATCACTGGGACTCAGATCGTTGGAACTGGGATTGTTGGAACTGGGATCACTGGGACTGGGACTGTTGGGACTGGTATCGTTGGAACAGGACAAGTCCAAATCCCAAATCCCAATTCACCAAATCCCAAATCCCAAATCACCAAATCCCAAATCCCAATTCACCAAATCCCAATTCACCAAATCCCAAATCCCAGCCCGGACGTGCCCCTCTCAGTTCACGGTGCAGAAAGATCCCTGGAATTTACAAAAACCTGGAATTCCTCTCCTGGATGGCTTCATTGCTTCCCAAACCTCCTGGAATATCCCAGTCAAATTCTGGGGAAAGGAGAGGCTCGGGATTGAAAAAAAATCAGAAAATCCAACAAAAAAGCCCCTAAAACCAAAATAATTCTGTTAAAAATGAGGAGGGGGAGGTGGAGGAATTGAAAATCATCTTCAGCTTGAGCCAAATCCCTGCGGATCCCCAAAGCCCAAAAATCAAAATATCAAACAAAAATTAAGCCAAATAAAAGGATAAAATTAAGCAAAAATCTCAATTTAATCAACCCAAGGACGCCACGGTGGCATTTAGAAAATTGGAAAATTTGAATTTTTATTTAAAAGCGAATTTTGGGGTAAGTGTGGAGCTGAATTTGGGATTTTGCTGGGCCGGAGCTGGCGCAGGCCAGGCCAGGAAAGAGCTCCTAGGTTTTCATAATTAACAATTCATAATTCATCATTTCATCATTAATAATTTCGTAATTCATCATTAATTTCATAATTGTGCAATAAGAACCTGGGCAAGCCGAGGCTTCTCCCTTTCCCAGCTGCTCAGAATTCCTGAAAATCCCTGGAAGAATCCCAGGAAAAATGGCATTGAGGGGATGGGGAAAAAAGGGAATATTCAGGCAAAAAACCAAGATAAAAAAGGAAAAACTCCCTCAGGCTCTCCTCCCCTTTGTGCTGGTTCGGGCTTGGATTTGGGATTTATCTGTAAGCAGGAAAAAAATGTTAAAAATTGATTAAAATCCATTAAAACTCGTGGAAAATACACAAATTTAACCCCAGGAGAAGCTGCACCCTAACAAAAAAATTCCATATTTAAATGAAGAGGAGCCCAAAAAAAGAGAAGTTCTGGAGGGGGATACAGAATAAATAAATATATCAAAATGGAAAAGAGATTTTATAGAAATATATTAACTATAACTATAAATAGAGTTCTAAATATAAATATAGAGCTAAATATAAATAGATATAAATATAAATATAGATATAAATAGATAGAGAGAAATGAATATAAATACAAATATAAATACAGATCTAGAAAAATAAATAAATATAAATATAGATCTAGAAAATATAAATATAAATATAAATATAAATATAAATATAAATATAAATATAAATATAAATATAAATATAAGTATAAATATAAATATAAATATAAATATAAATATAAATATAAATATAAATATATTATAACAGAAAAGGAGATCATAAACGACATAAATAATAGAAATAATTACAAATAATGCCATTTCTATAAATTATAAATGCTAATACTCATAAATAATTCCATATAAATAATGAAGTTTTTTTTCCCCTTGTGGAACGCGGGGAATAATTGACCTCCCTTAATTAAGCTCGGGTTTAATTGCGGGGCCAGCTGTAATTACCGGAAGCAGCTGATCTCGGTGACACATCCCGGAAAAATCCCCCGGAGCCGGCCCCGGGAATTTCCGGGAATTTCCGGGAATTTCCGGGAATTTCCGGCTGCTCGGGACAGGAATTGGGGCTGGGGGCAGGTGGAGCCTGAAATAATCCGAATTTTGGGGCTCTGAGGCGGGTGAAACTCAAAATTCGGGTCTGGATGTGGCTGGAGAGAAAAATAATCTGAATTTTGGGGATTTGAAGAAGAATTAAACTCCAAATTTGGCTCTCGATGCAGGTGATGCCTGAAATAATCCGAATTTTGGGGATTCCAAGGGGGA